GATACATATTAAGCGCCTTGTGTGCACAAATTGTGAAATCAACTGCATCAAAAGTTTCTGGTTGATTTCATGGAAGTTGATCAGAATAAGCCTGTTTGGTAGAACTCACTGAAATCAACCAGAACACAACCACCTGGTCAGTTTCACCAAATGTGTTGCAAGAAGATCCCATCAATGCATAGCATGACAAACATTCACATGGAAGTAAGGGGATAGTGTTACAGATGATTATCATCACTGGAAGGCAAGGGTGTCATACAGGAGGAGATTGGATGCAAAGAAGGGGACCAAACTCAGGAGCACATGGTTGGTTACCACACAGGGGGATGTGAGCACAACCACATGGAGCTAACCACAGGGGTGACTGCATGGACAGGGAACAAGACAATAAGGTTGATGGTTGATCACACAGTCAGGGGATGCACAAGATAGGGGCCCGGAGAACGGTCACCAGTTAGGAGGAAGGAGAGCTGTGCCAAGGAGACCAGCATATTGGCCATGAGGAGGAGGAGCAATGTTGAAGAGGTTGACACACAGTGCAAGAGGAGGAGGAGCAAGGGGACAAGGAGCAGTGTCAAACGGACCGACAAACTGTCCAGGCAGAGGAAGAGCAGTGTTGAAGAGGTCAACACACAGCTCAAGGAGAAGAGGAGCAGGAGTGGTGTCGCCTGCGACACCATACAAACACGTAAATACTCTCACTTCATCATAGCATATGAGTGGATCCTCATCCATTATACTCTATACTTTAATTACTCTTTACTTAGTTACATATCATTGCAATAGCAGGGCTTTGCAATGACATCTCGAACATGTGTGTTGTATCACCATCAGACATCAGCTGTAGGTGGTGTTCTTCAACACTTGTGGTCCAGTCACTCACTGAAGGCAGTGTATAACACCTGCAGTCCAGTACCTCTCTCATCTGCAGGTGATAACCTTATTGCAGTCCAGATACTGTCAGATACCATCAAGCAACAAGCAGCACTACAAACACTTGTGCTGATATGGTAGACTGCATCATATAGCATTCCCAAGCAAGTTCTTCAGATGTGCTGCATAGCCTCTGAACAGAGTGTTCAAGGTGGCCAGTCAAAACCTACCAGAATTAAGCCTTCTGGTTCTTCTCACCAAAACAGTTTAGAAAGAGCTTACACAATTGATCTCATCAAGATCAACCAGGATTGTCAGACTCAGGTTTCAGGTGCGCAACCGCTTACACCGATTCGGCGCTTAAGCGAATTGTCATAGGACCACCTGCGCAGAAGAACTGGACCTGAAGGAGGAGAGATCATGTGCAGGAATTGCAGGATTGGGCGATTGATGAGTTCCAACAAAGTTTGGTGAGATTGATAGGATCTACATCCTATGACAGTATTCATTGGGATCAGTAGGAACAAGACCTTACAACAGGATTTGTCAGGATCAGTAGGACCACAACATTATGACAGATCTCAATGAAACCAGTCAGAGGGCACCACTCCCACTGACCTCACAAGGGGACAAGCAAAGGAAGTGCTCACCACTCAGATGAGGTGGAAGAGGTCTCTACAAGATGAGGATAGCAGTGCAAGAGGGTCATCACACCAGCGATGAAGAGTGGAAGGATCTGAATGGAATGATGGGCTCAAGGGCACCCAACACTCTGATGGAGTGGGAGAGACCCCTAAGGTGTAATGAGGTTGCTCACATTCACTTCAAGGTTTGGGGACAAGGGGTACAAGACACAGGAAGCATAGGTGACAAGGAGCAGGAGGAGGAGGAGCAGTGCTGGAGGAGAACCTACACTTTCAAGAAGAGCAAGAGCAGTGTTGCAGGCAACACTGTGAGAAGTCTATATAAACTACACATTCCCTTTGTCATAGTTGTTGAGTGGATCCTCATCCATGCTACACCTTACTAGTTATATCTTTACCATATCATATACTTGTAGTTTCTGTCACAAGTTGCAGTTGCAGGCCACTTCATCTAAACATAGCACATGTGTTGTATCACCACTATTGACAACATCTGAAGGCAGTACACTACTGCAGTCCAGCACTCTCAATCTCATACCAAAGGCAGTCGTCCACTGCAGTCTGGTTCTCAATCAATCAGCTCACTTGTGCAACTGTTGACACTATGGACACTCATGTCCAGACAGATGCAGTTGCCACACACCTGGTGTGGTTCAAGAGGTTCTCTAAGACCATGATTGTGCTGTGCTACCTCTGGATGGAGTGTCCACAGCAGTTAGTCAAAATCTGTGCAAAAACATAGTTACAATCTATTTGAGTGAGAAAGATCCTACAGGGCTTCTATAACAGATTCCTGCAAGATTAATAATAGAAGGCTTTTATGGTAGATTTTTCTGAGGTTGATTCTAGTCAGCCTTTACAATAGATTTCGGGTTCCAGGTGTGTGACCGCTGACACAAATATGCGATAGAATTGAAGCAAGTGCAAGTGGGTCTCGACCGTTCGACAACGGTGTTTTCGGCCTTAACGCCGAAAACATACTCTGCAAACTCAAGCCAAATGGTGTTTGGTGGCTTTGTGTTGGAACAACAGCCCTCCCATGTGTCATCAGACTTGCTCATACTGGGCACTTGGGTGCAAAAGCCACCTTCAATTGATTTCGGGTGGTCACTTATGCCCCTCAGCTCTTACGTCATATTGAGGACTAAGTCAAGCATTGTATTCAATGTCAGCAAACACAAATGTTCCATCATTGGCCATATGGCACACTCCAACCACTTCCAGCTCCCAACTCTCCATTCACAATCATCTCTTGTGATTTCATCATGCACCTCCCCCCTCATCTGGACACCATTCAATCTCGATCTCATAGACATGGTCCTTGTTCTCACAGATACAGCCACATGCTGCATGTACCTCCTGTTGGGCGCATCCACATGGAACACCAAGCACTGGATTCTACATTATGCCAATCACCTTCTTCCCTACATCAGGTGGCCCTGCAAGATCATCAGGGATTGGGACTCACATCTCACTTCGCAGTTCTGGTGCAGCCTCAACAAATGGTATGGATGTGAGCTGGTTTTCTCAATGGCTCACCATACGAGTGACAGCCAGAGCAAGAGAGCTATCTAATTGGTTGAGCTTCAATTACATGATTTATGCAATGCTTGGTCTGATGACTGGGCCACACACCTACCCCTTGTAGAACTCCTCCTTGCTAATTGGGTGAATGACTCTATGAATGCAGCTCTGAATGACCTCCTCTACAGCTTATGGCTATGTGATCCTTTCATGGCCTTACAACTGGTTACAGCCTTGAGTGACCTTACATTACCGGATTGCTGGTTGGCCTTGTGGCAGCAGGCTCTAGACCACCTCACCCTGGTTCAAGCTTACATGCATCAGCGATACAACACCCTCCACACACCACCACCTTGCCTCACAGTTGGAAATTGGGTCTGGCTTGAGCTCCATGACAGATACTCACTTCCTCCAAGCTTACTCCCCATGGATTGACACCTTGGTGTGCAGCAGGTTGGACCCTATCTGATCAAGCATGTTGTAAGTGAGCTTGTGTACAAACTCTCCTTACCCCTGGGAAATAGACTCCACCCAGTCATCTCAATCCAGCACCTTGAGCTGTATGTCCTGTCTGACAAACTGATCACCAGTACAATGATCACAGCCATTCTCAAGGAACACGAGACCCATCGCCATGGACATCAATACCTGGTTTGTTTTGAACATGCAGGGTGTGACAAATGGGTGCCAGAAAACACCGTTACCAACCCTGCTGTCCTCGAAGGCTGGCGGTTCGGTCGGACTTCCAACTCGCATATGTACAACGGCATTACGCATCCAACGGCTACAGTTTAATCCGGGGCGTAGTCGTAGCTGTTTCCAACATCCTTCCGTTTTCTCAGTTGTCTCTCACCATTGTCGGATCGCATCGTTCAAACAACCATCTCGTCTCGCTTCTATAGATTCTCGCTTCTTCGACTCCGTCTCACCTCTTCTTGCACTCCTACGTCTTGCTCCATACTCGCCTTGTAGTGTCTTCTTTGGCGGGGCCAATGTCACGCCCAGGTACTCTTTCGTGTGAATACTAGCTGCACGAGAATGATCGATCAACATCTTCTTGCGCGAATACATGTCACACAGGAAAGTTCGATAGCTATCTTGCAAAACTTTGCTTGTATGTCCTTGCTTGTACGGAAGCTAGTACTTAAACTAGCTTCCATTAGATCTCCTCCTTCCTGCAATCCATCTAGTTACACCATTACACCGCGCATACAGCTTGCGCACGTAATAACGTAACATGAAGTGTGACATTCAGCGCAACCAAGCAGTGCCTGATCTCTTACCGTATCTGCCCATGTTCCCATCAACATCTTGCTGGATTGTATTCTTCAGCACCGATGAACCTTGCACGAAGGCAGCACTTTTCGTGCGCGCAAATCATCGAAGCTCTGCATGGTGGTGTGCCGAATAGATCCGTGCCATCGCTTGTCCATGATGATAATCAAGGATGATTTGCACACTCTTCTGGAACAACACAAGATGATCAGGTGATAGAAAGACCAGTCAGCTTCAGAGAGCCATAGTATTGATCAATACGCCACTGCAGCAGTTCTGGCGTTGGTTGAGTGGCATCATGAGCTCCAGCGACGCGAAGCTTGCAAGTAGTGAAACAAGTTGGTTGAGCAATCAACATACGAGGCAGACTAAGCATGCAAACGAAGCTCGTCAAGAGAATGTATCGAGAATGCCGTCCAAGGTGTGCTGACAACGTTGCTCGTTTATTCTTGGAGGCAAGCGCATTGGCTTACTGAAGTATTTTGCTTACCAACACGCATGATGATTGCTCAAGCTCTTGGATCTCTAAGCAGCAGAAGGACAAGAGAAACATGTTCCTACCTGGAGACCACATGACAGGGGCAACTGCAACAATGCGGGACCGCTTGAGCCAGTAAGCTGTGCGATTTATATTATAGCATTACTCTACAAAGTGTACAAAGGTATGAAAAGGCAATTGGCTCCTCAGATGTTAAGCAAAGCTGCTAACTGAGCCTGAACGACAATCGGCAGATAAGCGAGGCAGACAATGGGCACTGTTGCCGAACCAAAGAGCATCCAATGCATCATTGCTTGCTCGAATGCGACCTTAAAGGATCCTCCTCCAAGGGTTTGCACCATGCGCAGAGCTAGTACCCACATGACCGGGTGCAACATGGACATCACCACGAATCGCAACCAGCCTACCACCGCCGAGCATTTCCAAGAGGCGATGCGAAGAGCAGAGTAAGTTCCAAGTGCTAGAACCGTTGCCTGTGCCAAGTTGAGCACGCTTAGTAGTGCGACGAGCAAGCCTGCTTGTAGATAGGCGAAAGCGAGAAGGAGTGAGCTCATGCGGTTGCATCGTATAGTTGTGGTGCGAATGCGAATCATGAATGCGCCTGCTGGTGCGAGTGCCATGACTCCTATGGAAGCTAGAGTGATGAGTTGCCACTGTGCAAGGTCTTTCGTTGAATCCAGAGCTGAAGTAGCGAGAGTGTCGGCATGGTACAGCACTGCTGCACCTAGCACCAATGTTGAAGCTACGCATGCTAGCGCTGCACCGTTTGGTCGGATCGAGTCTCGCAATGCATCTGCAAACTCGTGCAATCTTGTTGCCACTTTCTCATTGCCCTCCTCCTCTTCGACAGCCAAGATCCTCTGGACGAGGTGATTGCGATACCATGCCAAAGTAGGATTGTCTGGCATCACATCTTGCTCGGCAGGCATGTACTTTTCTGCCTTCAGAGCTTCCAATCTGAGCAAAAGAGCCTCTCTTTCAGCCTTGGACCGTTTCCCCTCATCAAACCACTTGGCCAATCCACTAATCGTCAAGGAAATCGACAAGAACAGAGGCACCAAAATCGCCGTCCCAATCGGAACGAACCTGCTCGGATTGAGAAGCAGATAAAAGAACTGCGAATGATGCAGTCTCTCAATCAAATTCGACATGGATCTGACGAAAGACTCAATCACTCGACCCATGTGAAAGAATCCATAGGGTCCAGTAGCTGGAACAGCATAGATAGTAATCGCATCGACATGGTTTCGTTGAAAAAACCCGTGTGGCCCACTCGCTTGTCCCACAACGCCAAACCAAAGCTGTCGTATTGCTGAACTAAGACCATCTTGGTAGCGATGCAATCCGTACTCCACATCAGGCCGCAAGCTCAGGCCCGATCGTTTAGCCAAATCCAGAACGGCCTCTTTAAGGAGCGACTTGCTCGACTGAGCAGCCAAGGATATGGGTATGCTTCCAGCAACATGTTGAGCGATTCGAACGATGGTGTTGATAACATCCATGTTGGGTAGCTGACCATCGAATCCTTCGTACTGCACTTGGAGCGAAGAGAAAGAATCCGAGGGGTAATCGATTGAGATAGCATTCCACACTTGTGAGCCTGCATGAGCTACTGCTTCTACTTGAAGGCCGGGTGGGATATTGCCGAAGTAGGCCGAAGACCAAGCATGAATGCCTTGGAGATGTCCGTCGCTGATGACAAAGATCAGGTCTTTGCTGAGATGTGCTTGAGTGGTGAGATAGCGTGCGAGGGCGAGGATGGAGGCGATACCACGGACGTTGATCTGGCCTCTCGTGTCGAATGTCGTCCGAGTCGCGTTGGCGGTGGCGGCTGTAGGTGCAAAAGGGTCGTCCTCACCAAGCCACCTACTCCTCCAACTCGCGGTGAGAATGACAGCCTCTCTACCATCGATACGCGGAGTTGCAGACCTAGCATACACATTGGTACCCGACAGTACCGTCTTGTTCCCTGGCAAAAGTTTATCATAGTTGAACTGCTGTCTGTGGACATCTAACCCATACGACTGCAGCTGGGAGTAGACAAGATCAGCACGCTCTGCACTGCTTGCATCCCTCAACCGCGAAATTTTTTCCGAGAGCATATCGGCGTAGGTGACGTCGAAGTAGTCCCAGTAGACTCTTGCTTGGGCCGGTTGTAGGGCATTTTCGTCGACATAAGTGCCTTTTGAAACAGGTGACTGCGGATGTGGCACGACAAAGATAAGTGCAAGAGCGAGGATGACTAGCAGTGGTCGAAGGAGGAGCGAGAAGCGGCCAAGCAGGGCTAGCACTCTACGGCGAGTGGCAATACGGCGTTGGAAAGCCTTGCGAAGCTTTGCTTCTTTAGCCGCCTTGGCCGCGCGTGCTTCTGCCAGACGTTGGAGGGCATCGTCGTGCTCGATGGGTTCGTCATTTGAAACAGAAGTAGTGTCGAGATGAGCTGCTACCGCTTGCTTGCGGATGGGACGAAGGCCATCATTGGAAAGGAGCGCGTCAACCTCGTCTTGTTCATCTTCTTGTTGTGTTGATAATATCCTCTCCGTCTCTGCTGTACTTGTCGGCCCTGGCAAAGTGAAGCAGGCCGAGACGAGGAAAAGATGACAAACTAGCAGAACCAACGAGGAGTTCTCGGTCGAAGGAAAGACGTTCCAGCACCACTCCAATGCCACAGGCACGACAAGCTTCAACACCACCGGTAGCTTCGAGAACCACAAGAGCAGTGGGACCTGGTGAAAGTACCACGAGTAGAACTGATAATGCAAGCTCCGGGAGCAAAGGATGCCAATGACGTTGGAGGTGAATGCAGTGCCAAGGATGGCTACTTTCGCCCTTCGATCCAGTGCGGACGTCTGCTTGGAGAGATTGTTGAAGATCCATCGAGGGCCCTGGGTGCCGATAGCAGTCCAGCGGAAGAGGCCAAAGATAGCAAGCAAAGCGAGATGTATTGCAAGGAGACCCTTCGCAAAAGGCTGAGACAAGAAGGTCTTCTCGTCAACAAAGCGCCAGTTGACCGTCCAGACGTAGAGGAAGGCTCTTGAAAAGTCAAAGGCATGCGCTAGGTAAGCATGTGCATCGTGCCATGTGAAAGGTAGCGAGATGAGCACCTGCACAACGGCAATGATCGATGTGTACGAGACTGCACCTGCGAGACCGGTGTAAGCGAAGGCAGCGGCAGCGATGCCAGGAAGGAAAAGAAGGACGTTCATCTTGACACCCAATCCCAAGCTGAACAACAGGGCCGAAAGCTTCCATCTTGCGTTGATGGCTGCGAAGAGTGCAACATAGACAAGAAAGATGGCGATGGGATCGTTGAACATTCGAAGCAGAAAGATCGAAGAGATACGCTTGGACAGTATCAAGGGCAGGACTGCGATTGGTGGCATTCCTACTTGACGGTAAAGCAGGCCCACGATGAGATTGTTGGCCGTCAATAGACCTGCGAAGACTTTTTGGGCGGGTAGGATGTTTTTCCCGCCATCAGTGAGCCAGTGGAAGAAAGAGTAGACGTAGAGATGGGCAGCAGGGTAGACGCAAGGACCGCTACCTCCCTCCGGGTTGAGGTTGGCATAGTGGCGTTCACCCTGTAGAAAGAGTGCTGCCTGGCCGACGTAGGTCTGGAAGTCGATCTCGGTGAAGCTGATGCGTCGAAGAACAACTTGGGAGAGCGCAGCTGAGACGATGGCGAGGGCAGCAAGGGAAAATGTGTAGCCATAGTCGTCGAAGCAGACGCGGTGCAGCCAGGCGACCGCAGAGGAAGACGACATGGCGGAGGTGAGGGCAAGAAAGGGTAAGACAGCCGGATATCTAGATGCAGGACATGCTGCTACAGTGCCGTTGCTTCAGCACTCTAGACGATGACGAGGGGGCGATGGAAGGTGAAGCTGATGCCGGACGAGGAAAGATGGACATGGAGGTTGGACGACAAGTTGGCGTTGAGAAGAACAAGAAAGTGTTGATCTTTCCAAACTCGCCTGGTCCGTGCTTCACTCAGGACTTGCCTTTTGCCCGATAGCATTGCCTTTTGCCCGATAGCATCGCCGATAATCAGGCCAAGATGATGATCCCTCATCTTGCTTGCAAGATAGCTTCTGATCAGCATAGCGATGGAGCTCATGAACACACAGACAGAAGGAATGATGAAAACAGGTGAGGCCTTGCACAGCGGATGAGATGGCATTGCAACATGATGAATGGGCCTGACATGGGAGAGTAGTAGCTATGCATCTTTTGGTTTTAGCGCTCGCTGATCACCAGCACGTATCCTGTAGAGAAGCGTCTCTCCACTTGCATGTCCTGCTCCTGCCCTCTTCTCGTACTCGAGCGCAAACAAGGCATCGCGTAGTGTAACCTTGAGCCTTGCTTGCCTTTGCTCTTCCTCCTTGGCTGCTTGACGAGCAGTTACGTCCCCCCATGCACCAGTTGCAGCTGAATTGCATCCACCACCGCCCGAGCCCGACGGGCTTGCACCAGCTCCGCTCCAATTGGACACGGCTGGTTGAGGTGCGAACTTTGGCTTGGGAAGTCGGCTGCCAGGTGCTTTAGCATCATCGCCACCGGCGTCTGCTTTGTTCTTCTTGCCGCCCAAGGGACTGGATGTATTTGGCAAAGTGGAGCCTCCAGACAGCCAGGAGTATTTGGACGATCCACCTCCCAAGTTTCGCATCGCTGTACTGTCCGCTAACCTCTTCCTTACGTCTTCGGACATATTTCTCGCCGCTACACCGGGTCCGATCTTCTTTGGCCTCTTCCTTGCCTCGCCCTTGGGCGTGCCCGTAGCATCGTCCATGTCCATGTCTTCACCACCAAGACCTGCTGCCAGAGCAGAAGACTCTTGGTCTCTGGCAAGTCGCTCACGACGTCTACGAGCCTCCTCACCCCTCTCTGCCTTCTCCAGTGCTGCAAGTTGCTTGAGAGGATCGCTGAGGATCTGTTCGTGGTACATGGGCTGAGACGTTGACGGAATCAATGGAGGCGGATGTTGATGCGAGGACCAGCTGCGATGCCGTGAGGAAGCGATCATGTTTTCAAGGATGTTCTTCAACCGTGTTCTCGCCGCTAAGGAAAGATAATTGAGCACGGCTGCATCGACACTGAGACCATGTTGTTGGGCTAGCGTGTGCACCTTGTATGCGAGTGGATAGACTTGCAAGAAGAGTTGGTCATCGTCAGGCTGTGCTCCTTTCTCGCGTGCATTCTGAGACTGTTCCATGCGTTCCCGGTGTTGGATTGCTTCCTCTTCAGCTTGAAGATCAACACCGGATGCACCCATGACATCGACTAGACTATCAAAGTTGTCTTTTTGTTCAGGAACCGCAGCAGCAGATCTGGAAGCAGCGACTGTTGCCTGTGCGATGCCTGCATCCGGGCCACTGGAGGCACCATCGATGAATGGTCCGGCTGCCGATACGTCGCCATGATCGGTCTTGAACCTTTTGGCTAATGGTAGAGATGGATTGGAGCGTTCTCTATTCGCTTGCGACTTGGAAGATTGTTGTGCTGACGCATCGTTGTTTGGTGTTTGCGGTAGTAGTGGGCTGCTCGTAGCTGGCGATGAAGCCATCATGGGGTCGAAGAAGCGAGTCAAAAGGGCCTCTTGCTTGGAGGGTGCAGTATGGGCCAAGCGAGAGACTGTGAGAGCCGGCGAACTGAGGGACGAAAGGCGATGGATGGTGGAAGACGATGGATGGTGGAAGACGATGGATGGTGGAAGACAAGCAAGAGAGTCGAGATTCAGAGAGGACTGGAGATGGCAAATTTCGGGTTTCGGGGAAAATGCTTTCTGCGATTATTCTTTTTTGCATTTTATGTTGGAAAGGCCGATCTCACATAGACATCTGTGCTTTTAATCATCGTCATAGTCATAGCCATTCCCATTCCCATAGCCATTCCCATAGCCATTCCCATAGCCATACCCATACAAACCCGAAGCTCTCTCACACGACGCTTCCTTCTGAAGCTTTGGAAGCTCGCAATCAGTAGTCTCGTCGGGATAGACCTGTTCGGTCGGCACTTCGAAGCGAGCATAAGGGTCGGGTTGTGCTTGCCGTTCTCATTGGCAAATTGTGGCTTCGGAATGACTTGTCTGGATTGGTTGCTTCCTGAGAACGAGTGCGATTGTAATTGGTTGGTTGCGAATTCGTGTGCTCTGACGACGCCCAGTGCGGGGTTAGCATTGGGAACATATATCGCAAAGCATCTTGAGCCTAGACGGCTGATTGACGAGCTCCTGCAAGACGGTCGAGAAGCTGCAAGAGGGAGCAAGTCCACAGGAATGGAGTCAAGGCTCTGTCAGTCAGCTTTTCGCTGCGTGAGGCTTGGATCTTGAGATTGCTGAGCACTTACAGCTCCAACACCTGGTAGGGAGAGCACGTTGCCGATGACAGGAAGCTGCCGCAAAAAGCTAAGAATCACTGGGAAGAAGTCGCTGTGAACGCCAAACGTGCAAGTGTGAGAAAGGGATGTGATCTCTGTCAGATCTGTTCGCCCATAGGCCATGCTCGAGGCATAGGAGCTGCAATGTACATACCCAAAGAGATTGAGGAACCCGAATGCTTCGACTGCCATTCCAACAACAGCCCATTTGCAAAAGACGAGCAAGATGCCGGCAAAGAAGCAGATGGTGCCACGGATCTTTTGTTTCCTTGCGAAGAAGTAGAAGGTCTTCTGAGGCCCAATCAACAAAGCAATACCAGCTGTGAAAAGCACATTGCCGAGGGCAAGGAGGGCGGCATCGAAGAACAGGACGATGCCGACAAAGATGAAGAATGTGCCGAACGAGACCAATCCTGCGCCAATCTCTGTTTTCGGGTGTTCGAGATGCGCAAGGAGTGGATAGTCAGCATCTCGATTGAATTGTGTTTGGCTGGATCTGCCGATGATGCTGCCGCTTACTTTGCTGATCTGTGAGCCACATCCTGTTGGTATGAGAGGGTTCGAGTATGCTTGGTGGTGGCTAAGAGAGGTGTTGCTGGCGGCGGTGTTTCAGTTGCCGCCGATTCTCAGCAATTCCTCGGCGACACCCTCTGCCCGACTTCCGAGATCTCTCCGCCCGATTTCCGAGATCTTTGCCCGATTTCCGAGATCTTTGCCCGATTTCCGAGATCTTTGCCCGACTTCCGAGATCTCTGCTAACTTCTTACTTGATCAAGAGAAGCAAACTTCTTCTCACAGCCAGTCGAGCTGCAATGTCTAGGCACGCCTCGAGGTAGATAGACGCAAATGAGAAGTATGGGCAGATGACAATGAGCAGATCTTTTTGACATGTCAAATGGATACAAGTACATGAATGAGGTGGCATGCCGCAATCCGCTTGAAAGAGGAGGTAAAAAAACAGGATTGCAGCTGGAAAACAGGCTTGGCTTTGGCTTTAGCGCTGCCTTTTGGCTGGGTGGTTGGTATGCCCCAACTTGGGACTTGGACTGGGTGCAGTCTTGCTCTTTCGCTTGAGTGCAGATACACCATTGGCAACACTGGGTGAGGCGTGATTCGAGGTGGTGCCGCTCTCGGTAGGAGGTCCGCCTTGTGCACTTGCTGGTCGACCTGGCATTTGCAACTGTGTTGGTGCAGGATTCAAGTTGGCGTTGCCGTCTGTCAAGACTGTCTGTGACATGGATCGTCCTGCCTGCATCTCTCGATACTGAGTAGCAAACTTGCGAAGAGAGTCGATAGGACCGATCTTGTCTCGCATGCTAAGATCAATGAGATCTCTCAGCTGGCAAACACTTTCGGTGATCTCCAGGCAGCGCATGGCACGTAGGCTGATCCCGTATTCGTTGACAGGGTATTCGGGCAGGAAGGTCTTTTCCACTGCGACTGTGTAGCCGCTCTGACTCTTGACATGGTCGTCAGCAGAGCCACTACCTTCTTCGGTCTTGACTATCGGATCGCCATTCTCGTCGCGTTTTGTGTCCTCAGACTCGTCCTTGCGAGCACCAGCGCCTTCCCTCTGGGCCTTTTTGGCGTTTGGACCGGCATTGGTGTTGGTATCAGCTGTGCTAAGAATGTTGGCAATCAAGCTGTTGGGGAGCGGATGCTCTACCTTGGACTTCTGGATTGCTACTCGTGGGATCAAGCCCGAGTGTCCATGAACGGTAAAGTCGAGCGACTCAAGACGCAGCTGAACATCCATCTTGCCAGCTTGAGCCGGCTGCGGTGTTGCCCACGGGATGAAGGAGGCACGCAAAAGTCCCGACATGTGTACTTGCCAACCACTTTCAAAGTTGGAAATGTAGTTTGCTTTGGTCACCTGGACGTGGTGTGTGACGTTGGGCGAAGGATGGCTGTTGATGTGTTTGTGAGATGCTGGAGGTGGCGGCAGAGGCTGGACGGGTGGCCAGCCGGTCTGGTACTCTCTTGGATTGTCAAGCTGCAACTGTGATGAGCGAAGGCCAGAGAGGTAGCTGGTGAGCAGGTATCGTGGCAAGACCGAGGTAGGTACCTCGAAACCCTTTTGCTCGCGCGAGTTGGCGTTCCAAAGAATCAGGCGGAAGAGACCGGTGGGGATAAAGAAGTCCTTGACGAAAGCACGCCAATAGTCAATGTCACCACGGTTGTTTCCGGAGCCAAGCGCTTCCGAGTATTGCACAAGTCTGAGCAGGCCAGAGCCGGCAGGAAAGTGAGACTGCAGCTGAGGGTTGGGACCTGGAGCTGCAACAATGCTCTCGCCGCTGGCTGGGGGACCAGATGGCATAACTGGAGTAGCGTTTGGGTTGGACGTGGCCAAATTCGGCGGCAACTGATTTGATGTTGGTGAGGCGGTAGTAGGGCGTGCGATGGCAGCAGCTTGTGGAGGAGCAGCAGCTGGTTGAAGGGATGGTGTTGGAGCAGCTGATGGTGGTCTGGTGTGAGTGGGCGTCGGTGGTCCGTGATTCAAAGGCATTGAAGCCTGTCGATGAGGCATGGGACCATTCACCTGAGGACTCGCAACCGAAGATCCGGCAAGGGGGGGTACAGAACCGGTGGAAGCCGAGTTATGGATCGGATGTGCGGCGTGATTGATCGGGGTGGGGTGAGCTGGACGCTGAGCGAGCGGATGGGACATAGGACTGTTATGCGCTGTGTTGGGCTGTGATTGCGAGTGCTGTTGATGCATTGCAGGCGCCGAAGATGGCTGGGCATGTACATGTGAATGCAGCGTGACCTGTGACGGAGCGCTCATATTGTTCTGCTGCTGTTGTTGTTGTTGTTGTTGTTGTTGTTGCTGTTGCTGCTGCTGTTGCTGCTGCTGCTGCTGCTGCTGCTGCTGCCGAAGCAAGACTTGATGATGCTGTTGTTGGGTATGCGGTGACTGATGTGGATTTGTAGATTGGGGTTGCTGCTGTTGAGCTTGCTGAGCGTGCTGTTGCATTTGAAGCTGCTGCTGTTGACCGTTGATCATGTGGGGCTGACCACCTTGGGCAATCCTTGCCATCTGAGCTTGATGCTGCTGCATGGTAGGGTGATATGCAGACGAGGCTTGAGCATTGACCATGTGAACAGGTTGGGAAGAGGGACCACCGCGGTACACTACGCCTTGCTGTTGTTGGTGGTGCTGCTGAAGCTGTGTCTGTGTCTGTGCCTGTGCCTGTTGCTGTTGATGATGGTGGAGCTGCTGCTGTTGATGGGTCGGAGGGTGGATTTGTTGGTGCTGCATCTGTGGATTTGGTGACTGGGAGGGATGCTGATGTACGGAAGGCTGCTGCATGGCATAGGGACCACCGGGGTGCTGCTGAGGTTGCTGCGCCATGTGAGTTTGCGTGTGGAATGCGTTGTTGGGCATCATGATGGCGGCGGCGGCGTGATGTCAGGAGGGGGTGTGCACGGAGAGAGAAGCGGACAACAAGCAAGGATCGAGAAAAGGATGGAATGAGGAGGAATGTTTTACAGGTTAGGGTGTGCAGGGGCGAGCGCTGAGTATATCCATGCCGCGCAGGAGAGCCAAGGAGGGATGTGTAAGCAAGGAAGGAGGCGATGATAGCTTGCGTGTGATGGCGGCAAACGCGTTGGAATGGTAAGCGGTGTCAAGGGCAGCCGGACTCGACGGAGAGTTTGGTAAGTTTGGATGTTTTGTTTGTATCAGGGAAAGGAGTACATGGTAGAGATGATGAGGGCGAGGAGGATAAGTTAGAAGGCCGAAGGTGTCTGAGCGACAAAGTAAATGCGAGTGTCTCTGCTGGCCTTGTTCTCGCTTCTGATGCTTTCGGATTGCGCTTTTTGGCAGCCCGACACTTGTGACTTTCAAGTTGGCTTCCATACAACGCTGATTCGATGGTGGATCAAGAGCAACAAGAGAGCAAGAGAGAGCAAAAGGCAAGGCTACCAAGCACAGAGCGATAGTGCCAACAATCTCGAACAGAGGCGCAAATCAATCCCAGGCAAATCGGGGGTGACCAAATCGGGGGTGACCAAATCGGGGGTGACCAAATCGGGGTTTGGCCATCTTGCCAAGATTGCGCTTCTCTGGCTTGCCTTGCTCCCTCTGCTCTTGCAAATTGATCTTGCATGTTTGACGACTCAAATCTAACAGAGCCTCATGAATAAAAGAACGCTCACTGTCAAGTGAAATCACATGACCGCATGTTCATGCTCTAACATGACTGCAAACTTCACTTGGCATTGCCACTTGTCAACTCCCACCAACACTCGGCTTTCCCCACCAACACTCCTATCCTACTTGACAATGGCACACCCTCATATGTGTCACTTTCCCCTATGCATGCACACATCAACCAACAGCAGAGACATATATACTTCTGTTATTGCTTTGTACTTAGTTCCTTTGAATGCTAACAATTTTTGCCACTTGCTTGACTGCCCTGACTGTGTTTTCCTCAACAGATTAAGAGTCTGAAGCTCTGCTGTAGGAACACTGCCCTGCCTCGCCACACTGTCCAATCTGTATCCTCACCTGCCTCTGCCACCTGAAGAAAGGGCCCACCTCTGCCAAGCCCAATGACTCAGCATGCCACCATGCACCTGCAATTCAGATGCCAAGAGCAGTGATCTGTCTGATGAACCAAACAAGGAAAGAGCCCCTGCTGCACCACACAGGCAGGTGCTAGTTGGTACAGAGACACCTTCTTGCTATGACTCCAACAATGATGATGATGGCAATGAAACTTACTATGACATTGACACCATCTCTGGACTAAACCCTGAAATGCTTAAAGGCATACTCATCAAACTTACTAAATGCAACAAAGCAAGGAACTCCAATGCATACAAGAAACCCTCATGCTGATCAGATTTTCACCAAAGACTCTCCTGCACCCATGATGCTCTCAAGGAGGCCCCCAAGCTCATGACCAAAAACTGGTATGCTTGGAACCCCCATCTCTGAGGTATCCTGTCCAATTGGCCTGTGGCCATGAAGCACCTCGACAGTACCATTACCCCTGAGCACAAGAAATACAATTGCACCCTTGATGGCAAACTATGCACTATTCTCCAAAGTAGTGCTTTGCTCACTGGAAATGATAACATCAACTATCTATTTGTATGACCTGCCAACTTGGAACCTTGGAAACTGCACAAACTCTACCACAGACTCAAGACAGACCTCATGAAGATGGAGAAGATTGCTGAGTCAACCTTGCTCAACAAAGTTGGGAAAATCTGCATGTTCCAGGCAAATGTCCACAAGCTCATCACCAATATCAACAAACACTGAGCCAAAGCTGAATCAATGGGCCATGCTCTTCCTGATATCCTCAGAGTCAAGACGCTTATCAACCAGGCCAGATATGTCACAGGGTCGGCTGGCCAGCGCAAGAGAGTGCGCCAAAATGATCAGTGGCAGTTATGGTAATGTCGCATAATGGAGCAGTATATGAAGGGTGCGCAGAAGATCAACATATGAAGGGTGTGCCAGATTGATCAGAGCCAAAAACCATCAGGGAACAACAAGATTAATTGGGTTGTCAGCACATATGAATTACAAGATCGATCAAACCCCAGGAATCCAGATCAATCTCATGGGATCAGTTGGGGTTAGTTGGATCAGCATGCCTCAACTAATTGGCCGATATGAACAAGTACTCAGAACTGTGCCAATGTGACCACATGACCAAGGGGTATGGTCATGAGGTTCAACAAGTGACTAAAGGGGTTTCACAAGACAAGTCGAGATGGAACTGTGCCGACGAGACCACATGACCAAGGGGTATGGTCACGAGGTTCAACAAGTGACTAAAGAGGTTTCACAAGATAAAGTCGAGAGGGAGCTGTGTTGAAAGGGGGCATCACACATCAGGCAGAAGGAGAGCATGAAGGCGAGAGGGCAGTGTTGCATAACCCTTACACCATGCAAATGGTAGGAGCACAGTATCGAAGGGATTGGTGCCAGCAGGACAAGACAGTGCCTAACAGGGACAAAGGCCCCTCAAGAGGAGCAGGATAGGTGTCAAGGGAAAACACCAACTGGATGCATAAATACTCTCATTCTACCATAAGCATATGAGTGGATCCACTTCCACTCTTCATACAACATACTTACTTTATACTTTACTTACTCGGTTATGTATCATCACAATAGCAGTGCTCTTGCAACAACTCTCAATGTGTGTGTTGTATCACTGTTAGTTGACAACTGTAGGTGGTGTTCTTCACACTAGCAGTCCAGTTCATTACTGTAGGCAGTGTTTTTCAACACCTGCAGTCCAGTCCCTTGCTGTAGGCAGTGTTGCTCGACACCAGTGGTCCAGTCAGTTATTGTAGGTGGTGATTCACACCAGCAGTCCAGTAACTCCCATCCTCTGTAGGCGATTAGCATATCGCAGTCCAGACAATGTCCAAGAGCATTATCAACAGTACTACAAACACTCATACTGTAGGGGAGGGTGTATCACCCACTCACCAACAAACAACATTCGTGCCATGCAACCTCTGAACAGAGTGTTCAAGGTGGTCAGTCGAGACTTACTAGGCAATGACACTTGGTTACGTTTAGGCAAATCATATCGAGTAGACCTTACTCAATCAACCTCAGTTAGTCTCTGGCGCGCAATCGCTTACAAGATACATCACCTCATATCACCATTGTATCACCACACTCGAAGACACTGGAATGGTGTCAAACTATGAAGTGCTTTGCACTGCACTTTTCAAATGCCAGGATAGCATGATGGCCTGAACAGATCACAGGGCTGGCAACCTCAAGACCACACAGGCAAACCTGGCTGATGGAGAGGTCAAGAACAAGGAGGCCTACCACCAGGGTAAACCTGGACCCAATGGTGTTTGATGTTGCTATCATTGCAATGCAGAGAACCACATCTCCAGGTACTGTCTGAGGAAGACTCAAGGAGAGGCACCTGCCAACACCACCATGCCAAACCAAACCACCACCTAGGATATTTGGTGTGCCATTGCTTCCACTCACTGTGTATCCCTGGATTGACAACCCAGTAACTATATTGTAGATTCAGGGGCAACAGATCATGTCACAAATGATAAATCAAATCTTATTATTTCTTCCCCTTGCACTGGCTTTGTGAAGACCATTAGCAGAACAAAGAGTCACATTGTGGCTGTGGGTCAGGCTATGCTCAATGTGGATGGTCATGAAGTATTACTAGACAATATACTTTATGTTCCAGACTCAAATGCAAACTTGATCTTGGTAAAAGCTCTAACAAACAATGGTGCATGTGTGTTGTTTGACTCCAAATATGTAACATTTGAACTGTTGGCCAACAAAATGGTCATCAGCAAACTCAACCTTCAGACAAGGCATTATGAAATACCACAATCCCAGCATGAGGCTCTGGTGATCAGCCCCAATGAGGGATTGACCAACTTACCTGAGTGCTTTGATAATGAGGCAAAAATGAGCAGATGTGAATTCACTCTGGACTTCATGCATGAACAATGTGACCATCTGGGGCAAAACAAAACATGGCTCATTGAGAAGATAGACAAGGTTAAACTCATGGATGGCAAATGCCAGGATTGTGTTGTCAGCAAGTTGACCAAAGCCCAAATGGGACATGGTAGCAGCACACATGCTAAAGATCTGTTAGAACTAGTGCATGTCAATCTGGCTATGCACTGGTCAATGAAGACTGAGGTCATGTGTTTGTTAGTCACCATTGATGATGCCTCTAGTTTTACATATGTGAAACCACTCCAGGCAAAATCAGATGCTTTGCAAGTCCTGAAAGAATGGATTACATATGCTGAGGTACAGATGGGCCATAAGCTCAAAACCCTCTGCTCAGATAATGGAGGTGAATGGGTCTTGGTGGCAGCCATCCATTGGCAGAATGAAACTGGTTTCTGCTGGCAGAAGACTTTGCCCTACACCAGTGAGCAAAATGGTAGGGCTGAGCATGCAATCAGAACAATCAGAGAGATGATGATCACCATGATGCACACACACTGCTTGCCACAGATGTTCTGGCCTTTTGCTGCTGAGGCTACTGCATTCACAAAGAACCTCCTGCTGAACATCAAAAACCAGATCCTGTATCACATTTTCTACCAAAAAGACCCCCAAAAACCATTTGACATTCTCTGGACCTTTGGTTGCCTTGCTTGGGTAAACATACCCTGGGCAAAACACAAAAAGCTTGATGAACCAGCCAACCCAGCAATCTTTGTCAGATATGACAAAGAACATAAGGGGTGGAAGTTCCTGACCCCAAACCATAACCTGCTGATCTTCTGGTCAAACTTGGCCCATTTTCTGCAAGACAGGTCATGGAATGATCACACCAACACCACCCAGATTCAAGATATGGATGCTTTACATTACAACACTGGAGCTGACATTGAGGATTTCAG